AGAGAGAGAGAGAGAGAGAGAGAGAGAGAGAGAGAGAGAGAGAGAGAGAAGGATAGACAGGAGAGAGAGAGAGACGAGTAAGCTCGAAAGCGCATAGGACTTATTATCTCTCAGTTCATTCTTCGTCTATCTATCTTCTTCACGGGTGCTCCTCTCTCCGCCTTCTGATCTCTGTTCTCCTCCCTCCTTGAGTACTGTCTCACGGTGAAGAAGGAGAACGACTGGTATAAGCTCCTCCCTTCCGATCCAGTGGTTTTCCAAGATGGATTCACAGTCAAGTTGCCGTCTCAAGCGGCCGTGCCCGAGATGGACGAGGAAGTCGCAGAGCATGGCGGTATTTCTATGTGTATTATATGTTATCTGCAACGTCAGTCGATGGAACGCTCTATGTGTGCTTGCTATGGAAGATGGTTCTAGCAGCGCCACATCTCTTTCGTCGTCGGGTCAGGATTCATCCGAACTCGAATCATTGCGCCAAAGATTGCAAGTTCTTGAATTGGAGAATCAAGGTCTTAAAGCGCGCATAACTTATCTAGGTGAGTTTCCTCCTCTCTGTTCTCTTCCTCCGCTTCCTCCCCCTTCCCTCTTCTTCCTCTCTTTCCTTCCCATCCTCCCCTTCCTCCCCTTCCTCCCCTTCTCTTCTTTCCCCTTCTTCGCTTCTCTCTCCTGCTCTTCCTCCTTGCTCTATTTCCTCTCCCTCATTCTCTTCCTCCCCTCCGCTCCTTTGTCCCCCGTCCTCTCCTCCCTCTCCTTCCTCTCCTTCCTCCCCTTCCTCTCTTCCTCCCCTTCCTCCCCTTCCTCTCCTCCTCTCCTCCTCTCCTTTCTCTTTTCCTCTCCTTCCTCTCTTCCTCCTCTCCTCCTGTCTTCCTCTCCTTCCTCTCTTTCCTCTCCTTTCTGTCCCCTCCCGTTCCTCTTCTTACTCTCCTTCTCCTTCCCTCGCTGCTCCTTCCCTTCCCTCATCTCCTCTCTGCCCTCTTCCTCCCTTCCTCCTCCCATTCCCGTCCTCCCTCCCTCCCTTCTCCTCTTATCTTCTTACAGTTTGTCATCCTGACTTTAGTGACAGTTCCCCCTTTGTCGTCTCACTCGTATGCGCGGTGCTTGATTTGAATCATCTTTTTTTTTCTCTTCCACCGTCCCTCTCCTCCCTTCCCTCCCTTCCCCTTCCCCTCCCCCCGCCCTCCCATTTCGCCTCTCCGTCGCTCTTTTTCCCTGTCGTGCCCAATTTTCCTGATCTCTACCGTCTTCTTGTCTGCTCTCCACCTGGTTGGTTCTTGATTGCCAGGCGGTTGGTTCTTGATCGCCAGATCCCGACCTGGTCTTTGTTAACCTTGTCTGTCGCTTGACTGGTCCTCGTCTTTCTCCTGACCTGTTCCTGTCCAGCTTCTTGTTCTATTCTGATCTATTCGAGGGGTCTTTCCCCTGACTTTCCGCGGTTGCGTCATCATCGATCGAGATCCCGGCCGTGATATTCTCGCTCCCACCTCCATGCCTATCTGTTGCCGCCCTTCTCTTCTCTTTTCTTGTGCGCGTCTTCTTCATCTGTCCCTACCTATTGCCGCGCTCCTCTCTCTTCCTATGTGCCCTCTCTCTTCTACCTACGTTCCCTACCTGTTACTGCCCTCTTCTCCTCTCCTCTCTCTTCCTGTGTGCCTCTGTCTTCTACCTACGCTCGTCTTCTTCTTATGTACTTATCGTCAAATGCGCCGTCGTTTCCTTTGCTCTGTGCTACCTGCTTGCCCTTTTCTACCTATCCTCCCTACCTGTTGCTGCCCTTTTCTCCTCTCCTCTCTCTTCCTGCGTGTCTGTCTTCTACCTACGCTTGTCTTCTTCTTACGCACTTATGGTCAAATGCGCCGTCGTTTCCTTTGCTCTGTGCTCCCTGCTTTCCCTATCTGTTGTATGCCGGCTGCTCTCTCTCTCTCCTCTCCCCGCCTATTGTTTGCTGGACGCGCTCTCTTTCCTCTGCATGTCTGTTCTTTACTGTACGCTCTCGACGGTTTCTTTCTATTTGTCACTCTCTTCCTCTCGCTGACTTCTTCTTACCCCCTCCCTCTCTCACCCTCCTGTGTGCTATGACTATGTCTTCCTCACCTCTCCCTTTTCCTTCTCTCTCTCTCTTTTCGTTGCCCATCCATCGCTTTCCATTTTTACTCTTCTTTTTTGTTTTATGTCTTCCCGCTGCCTTCTCTCTTTTTCTTTCGATTTCTTAGTCACCGTTTTGTCTTTATTCTGGTAAATGTAATTACCTTATTAGGCTTATTGCCCTTTCCATTATGTGTTGTTACGGCTGCTTCATCGTCCGACGATTTTCCTCCTTGACCCTTTCACACCTGTCTGTTCTTCCTTCCCTCCTAAACCGTTTTATCACTAGTGTCTTGTTTTGTTCTTCCCCTCCGCTTCTCCTGCTTATCCCTCATCTCATCTCCCTAATTGTCATTTCCACCATCTTTCTTTCCTCTCCGTTTGCCCCTCTCTCCTCCCCCTCTCGCTCCCGTCGTAGATCTCCCTCTTTTTGCCCCTCCCTCCCTCCCCCCCTTCTCCTCATCTCCCGTCTTCGATCTCCCTCTTTTTGCCCCTCCCCCTTTCCTTCACCTCTCGTTTCTCGCCTCTCTGCATTCTTTTACGATGTCTTGATTTCTATCACGTCTTGCGGAATATCTTGTTGTGATCATCTGTCCGATGTGTATATTTTGTCTTTTATGCGATTGTCGGAAGTGGGAGGGAGAGAAGTGGGAGAGAATTGGGGGAGAGAATTGGGAGAGAGAATTGGGAGGGAGACGTGGGTGGGAGAGAGAATTGGTAGGTAGAATTGGGTGGGAGGGAGAATTGGGAGGGAGAGAAAATTGGGAGGGAGAGAAAGGAGGGAGAGAAAGGAGGGAGAGAAAATTGGGAGGGAGAGAAAACTGGGAGGGAGGATTGGGGGAAAGGAGAATTGGTTAGGAGAGAGAATCGAGAGGGAGAATCGAGAGGGAGAGATACTAGGGAGGTAGAATTGGGTGTGAGAGAATTGGGAGGGAGGGATCGTTGATTCGGCGAGAATTGGGTGGGAGGGAAAGAAAATTGGGAGGGAGGGATCGTCGATTAGGCGAGAATTGGGTAAGAGAGAGAATTGGGAGGGAGAGGTAATTGGGAGGTAGAATTGGGTGGGAGAGAATTGGCAGGGAGGGATCGTCGATTCTGTGAAGGCGTCCAGCGCAGTGCGTATGAGCGGTAGCTTTTCCCGAATACAGCGCGTCCTCCACTGTTAGAGTTTTCTTCGCGCAAAGACGAAGAACACCAGCGTCGTCTTCCCCCGAATACAACGCGTCCTCCTCGTGACGGTAAATGTATATGTATATACATTCGTGATTCGGGTGCGTTGTATTCGGGGGACGGCAGTAGCAGTGTTATTCTTGGTGTGAAGATTAGAGTCGAGGAGACGATGGCCTGGCTTTACTGCACAGCATTGTACATGTATCTGTAAGGTATTGTGTTCGAGATACATGCGGATCAATCGGATTGAGTGTATAATCGGGACGATTACCAGTTCCATACATGTTAACTGGTAGTCGTCTCGATATATTCGAAACGTCGGACCGATTCGAAAGTATCTGCAGCACAACACGGTCCAGATACGTGTACAATGCTGTTAGAAAGTAGTGTGATAGAGTGAGAAGGCCCGATGTTGAGGTGAGTGGCTAATGTGTTGTTCCTTGGGTACTGCAGCGAAGGCAGGCAAGCAATGTATGATCTTTTAAGGGTGTCGTCTGTCCTTTTTATTTTATTTTTGATGCGGAACAGAACAAGCGTGCGGAGAGTGAAGATGTGCTTCACATATCCGAGCTCGCGGTGTAGTCTGACGATTATTATCGTTGGCTGTATTGCGGCAGTGTGAACTGTAGAAGGAGAATGTACTATTAGTAATAGGGAGGAGAGCGAAGTCCTTTCGTGTGCGCTTTTTCTGGTCTACCGGTAGTTGTACTGAAGATATCCTGGCCTGGTCCTTACATTCTTCCCCCGAACAGACAGTACGGTCATTTTGCTGCATCTAGGCTGAAATGTGAGCCAAATGCGGCCAGAATGAGCGTAGGTTATATTCGGGGGAATACGGGAGTGAGGCAGTGTGAGAGCGGCCCTGTAGGAGAGAGTCGACGTAAGGAGATTAGTGGTCTCGCGTACTGCTCTCTCAGGAGTCTTGTCTTTACATGAGCAGAACGCATGGGCGTTATGGGTCGCGCTCACGGCATTCTTAGTGTATCTGGAACAGGGTACGGTCCTGATACCTTCGAAATTGCTGGATGTATCTTGCCCATGATACGGCGCAGATACATGTTAGCGTGTTGTGTAGTGGAGCGAGGCCGTATGTCCCCTCTCCGATGCAGATCTCGCATGCATCGGCTGTATGTAAATCAGCTCGCCGCTAAAGGAGGGTAGTGATTCTTTCAAAGAGATGAATCGAATTTGCTCTCCTCTTCTTTGGTATGTTGTCGTTTTCCGTGCCACCCAAGGGAAAAACTATGACTTGTTATCATATTTGAACAGATGGCTCTCTTTTTTTTTTTTTTAAGAGATGGCTTCGTCATTTCGATGATTATTATTATTATTATTATTATTATTATTATGACGATGATTTCCTGTCATATTTATTTCAATCCTATTATAATTTCTATGACTTGTTATTTTATTTCTGTCATAATAATTATTTATAGCACGCGATTGTTTAGCAGTTCTGGTTTCAGATTCATGGGGTGCGGGCTTGTTCCCGCGAACAGAACGCACGCCCCATCATTTTCGATGTATACAAACCGTGTTCCGGTCCAAATGCAGTAGGGATGCTGAGGTGTTGTGTTCGGGGGAAGAAGGTACGTAGTGTATGGAATTGAAGCTGTAAATTAACTAAACTTTTTTTTTTTGTATTCGTTTAGAAACTGATGCTCCCCTGAATGGAAACGGAGCCAGGTTCATAGAGACCTGTTTAAAAAAAAAGGAAAGAAAAAAGGTCGACAGCCTTGAGATATCACCCCCGTCTCTGAACTGACGTGCCTCAGGTTAGCTCAGATTTAGTTTCACTCATCTGATGCCATTGGGATTTGAATTAGTTTCAGTCATCGGATGCAATTGGAATTCGAAATCAGGGCCGAGGTCCCACTAGCAAAGAGGATATGATCAAGCTCCTGAATCTGGATGTGTTTTACGCAGAGATGCCGAAAAGCAGTTCAATCTCGATTTCCTGCACCTCTCCGCAAACACGTCCAGATTCAGGCATTCGATCCGATCCTCTTTGCTACCGTCTTCACCCGAACAGAACGCCCGGTCATTATAGCTGCATTTGGCAGAACTTTCAGTCCAGATGCAGCTATAATTACCGGGCGTTTTATTCGGGTGAAGACGGTAGTGGGACCACGCCCCAGTTCTTAGTCTCAACAGGTAATGGGTGCACCAACTGAGCAAGACCAGCTGGTTGTGTCTGGGTCGGGACGGCAGTAGTTGTCTACAATGTCGAATTGAAATATTGTTGGATGAATTAAAATATTGTAGGCTGAAGTAAAGTATCGTA